ATCCACACCCATGTACACCCGCCCCACCCCACCCCGCATAAGTGATTTTTTTTCATTTTGTTAGTTTTTTTTTTTTAAATCTTTTGGCTGGAATTTTTTTTACACCTCTACTATATGAACTCGTGCTTTTTATTAATTCAAAAGATTATGGAAGACTTCAGTTATGGAAAGAAGAAGATAAGATATTTAAGAGAATTAAATCTTGCACATATGCAATAAAGTTACTTAACAAAAATCCTTTATATCATAATACCTCTTTATTTTTTTAACTTTTTATATTTGTTAAAAGTATATATATTAATTTACCCTATTCAAGCTTTCGTTAGAAATACAAAAAATCTTTGTGAAGATCAATTAATACAAAAATGCAGGGTAAAGCTGTATACAATAGATCCTTGTGGTCCGATCCTTCCCCGAGCCCTGCACATAACGAAAGCTTATTGTACCGAGCTGCCTTTTTATTATGGACGAAGGTGCAATTTCACGTAAAAACACAACGGCCATAAGACAAACAACAAAATGAACTATAGAAAGCAAGAGTAAAAAAGTTGAAGGGTTACTTGCAAAAAGAGCAGAACAAATATCAGTAAATATAGCTGTACTTAAACCCACATACCCTTTTTAAACCCGCACCCGCATAAATTTTAAATGTTCTTATTTTGCCCGCCCTCGCAATGGTATATGTTTAAACCCGCACCGCCTCACACGTGTCTAAACCCCCACCGCACTGCACTCGCACCGCCGCATTGCCATCCCTAAATGTCAAAGTTGTCAACAAGCTTGAACGATCACAGTCGTTTCCTCTATGCTACCTTAGCTAAAACAAAGGTAAACCGTATTCGTATATAAACATTACAGTTCAACAAGTCTAATTATTTTCCATCACCAAGTTTATGTTATATATATGGTCACTTATCATAAAGGAACGAACTGGGAAGAAGCAACCTTGTAAACGTGAAAGTAACCCATGCAAACAAGGGCAAACGCGAAAAAACAGAGAAATTCAGAGAGTCCGGAATGTGTACAAACTAATAAATCGAGATATAAATTATCAATTGTAGTAGAGCTCGAGACCCATTCCATCGTGAATTTCGTAGTCCTTAAGGGTGATATGATCCTTATAGATCGATAGTATACCACTTTTGAATGCGGATTTTACATTATCGGCACGAGTTCCTGTTTGTGCTGGCTGCCACCAACTTCTTTAGCTTTCTTCCCCAAACGATCATTCAACACCACTTCAATCATCTTTAATTTGCAGATATTGTTTTTTCCTGAGTAGATAGATTGGAATATATAAGTGAGACCGAGATTGCGTTTGTACATATGAGTATTTATATAAGTAGCAATTTTGATGGGATTCTTCTCTCCCCAGATACTTCCAAAGCCATAGGGTGATTTTGTCCATTCATCTCGGGTAAAAGCTGCGTGAATAACAACATTCTGGCCGGAACATGCTTTATGGTCTCTTTTAAGTTTTTTGTATGGTATCAAATTCTCGATTAATTATTATATCAAGTTATTATAATCTTTTAGTAATTAAAAGAAATTCTCAATTCATTAGATTATTTTATTCTACACGACTATCCTCTTCCAGAATTNAAGTAGTATTGAGAATTAAATAAATTTGAATTCCTAACACAGGAGTACATCAATTAAACCTTCACAGGTTGGTTTGGACGTTTGTTATATAACATATTGTTACTTTAAATACAATAATTATTTTAATTTTATTATATCATATTGTTAAATTCATTATTATTAAAATACCCCTCTTATTATTAAAATACCCTTCTTATTATTAAAATACCCCTCTTACGTAAAGATCTATGTGTGATCGCGTTGTTACCGTATTCTTTTCTCATCTTGCCATTACAATAATGTTATTTCTCCACCAACTTTTTTAATAATTACTTTACCTTATACTTTAATTTTTCTTTGTAGTATTATATGCCTATTCTTCAAATATTTTTCAAATTGTTGATATATGACAAAATGACGAAGAAATAATATAAATATATCCAAATATTATATACGCTTAAATAATATAGTATAGTATAATACGATACATTATGAAACGACATACAACAACCATCCGACAAACTATCAAATATATTGTCCCTCTAGTGCATTCGCTAATATTTTAACCAAATTGCTAGAACTATGAATAGTTCACGCATGTTTTACCTAATACCTTGCTTCCATTCAGTCCCAACAGTAATAGTCACCAGGCTGAAGATAGAACTATTTCATCCAATCTTTGCATGAAACACAGTGAGGCAGAGAAGTTGACGATATACTATTTCAATCAAGCATCCCACAAGTGTGCCTTAAACTGAACAATTAGTGAGGAAAAAGATATGTATAATTATTCATGACGGAGATTACTCCAGAATCCATACAATACTGCCAAAGCTAAATGAATATGCGATAAAAACCAAAATTTTAACTTAATGAAAAGAAAACCTGAACAGTAAACATAGTTTAACAATAAATAATCACTAACAACCAATATGTTATCCTTTTGTTTGATCCCAACTGAAACAAAAAATACACTGTACATATCTGTATAACCTCACCAACTGAGAATGGGTATCCTGCCCATCAGCTCTGAATTCCATATTCAGATAATGATCAACAGAACTGCACAGTTACTCCAGTACCGCGACTTCTTGGTCGACTCTCCAATAGTTAGAATCATTGAACTCTTTTACCCCTGACCCGCCCTCATCTGTACTATCTTTTTCTGACATCTTAGGAACTAGGCTCCTCTTCAATGGAGCTGCTTCCCCAACAATCCCCTCCTTAAGAGCATGTTCCATTGCCTTTTCAGTACCCTCTAATTCTACACCAACAAATTCAACATCCTCTTCAAACAAAGAAGGCACAGCGGCTGCTTTCTGACTAGAATCAGAAACAGATGAACTTTTGCTAGACTCGGGAAATGACGATACACCATTTGGAATAGACTCTCCACCATTACGAGTGGAACTAATTGGGGGAGCTGATGCCTCCCCTGAGTTCACGAGGTTGTCATTACAGTCACCATTATCTTCAAAAGGATTCACAGATCCACCCACTGAGGCATCCCCCCACGAAACCCATTCAGGTATAGGCCTGTCTCCAAACGGGTCATCATTGTCTGACCTCTCGAAATGGAAGAAACCCACATCACCTGACACACCTGCTTTCTCATTCTGTTGATTGAAATCTCCACCATTAGCAGAATTGGCTCCACCAAATCCATTAAAGGCATTTGAACTAGAACTGGCTGTTCCATCTGTAGAACTTTTGCTTTCAACCAATTCATCCAGCTCTCCAACTACCACCTCTTCATCACAATTCATGTTACCGCCGTTTCCATTAGGGTTGATATCTTCCATGACCTCAGTAGGTGAGGTGCTCTTGGGATCTCCAGTTCTATCATCTCGGAAAGCAAACCAATCTGAATTTGTGAACAAATTGCTGCAAAGGTTGTTTTTATTTTTTTTAAAATGTGTTGCACAAGATAATAGGTTCAGATACCAAGAAACTGATAGATGCTAACACTCTGAAGCCTACAAGAAGTACCATATTCTTAGCACTCAATTTAAAACAAATCAACATAAGACCATATACAAGTTGACATCTTGTTTAAGATATATTATTCAGCATTGGCATATGTACCATTTACATCTAATGTATGGTCCTCCCATCCCCTGGAAGCACTAAAATTCTAGTTAGCTGGGACTAGTTTGCATCATAGACTTACCAGTTTTACCAATGAAAGAGATGCCACAGAGACAAAACAGAACGCATTCCTCCGGTCAAACAATTGGAAGTAGACACATGTTTCCTCTCAGGTCTCAGCTACCCTACTCCTTTTAAAATACGTGATTTTCCTTTGGTGGGCTAAGAAATTAATATCATTTGCATACGGCTAATTATAGTACATACATCAACGGTACTGAAAGTAAATATGCTCAAGTGTCCCTTGACACAAGTTTCCTTCAGAAAAGACAACCAGAACTCACCTCCCTTGGTCATCTCCCAATCTCAGAACAACTTCAGCAGACTCCTCATCTAAGTAAACATCCTACAAAGGCATGGGCATGAATGTAACATCATAATGAACACTATGCATATAATGAAAAACAGATAAGTGAATCTCACACAAGTTAGTTATCAATTCACTATGCATTTTCTAACTACTCCATTTCTCATCCAAAAGGAAAACAAGTTAACCAGAAAAAAAAATCATTAGTACCTCATCGTCCCGATCAAGAGCTCCATGACCCTGTTAACATGCAAGAAAAACCAGGGATGAATAAATCTAGACTGAAATTCAATCCCAACCACAACCCAAAATTTGTGTTTGAGGTTGCAGAGCACTAGTCCCTGAGTTCTTTGGATTCCTTTCCTCCTATACCTACAGAACACCCCCCCCCCCCCCCT